CACTCAGAAATAACCACTGAACAATGTGGCACCTATCTTCCAGATGTCAATGTGTGTTTCTCATCCGAAATGGAATTTTTAAATGGTTTTTCACTCCCGTATACCAAGACATCTTTTCCTGTCTTACATTTTTCTAACATCATTTTAACAATGAGGCAATACCTCACAGTGGGGATATAACCCAGCAATCACTCTGAAATATTTAGGTTGTTTACAACTTTACAGCATAATGATCAACAGTCACTGGCTCTTGAGGCAAATGGCTTGGATTCAAGCTCTGGCTTTATCACTAACTCAGCTACCTTAAGCAAGCTACCTCATTTCTCTATCCCTCAACTTTCTCTTCTGAAAAATAGGATATTATCTACTTTTTATGATTAAGGGGGGTAAATGTTAATACACAGCTGTTATTATCAACAACGCTATAATTGGTATGTTCATAAGCTACCAATTCAACAGTATCTTTATTAGATCAAGATAAATTCCCTTAAATGGGAATTTCCATATCAGAAGGCTTTTGAGTTTGCTGGATTTAAAGGCCTCATCAAATAGCTCTCTCACATAACACTCAGATCTTTTTAATCCAAGAAAATAAAAACTATGATCCAGTTAAGTTAACCAGCTTGTTTCACTCGATTAGCTTTTGCTCTTCCACTTTTGTGGCTGCAAACTTATATTTCATAAAATCTCAAAATTTGTAGAAAACGTAAGGACACCAAGTCCAAATGCTCACTCAGCACCATTCCTCTAAAGTCCCTAACTTGAACACTGCCAGTGACAACGGACAACCAACCACCCAAAACAATATAACTTGGAAGAATATTGACATCTGCCTCCTTCTAACTTCTACAGATTGATCTGAGTTCTTTCTGGTCAGATCAAACCTGGGCTGTGTGACAAGCCTCCAAATATTTATAGACAACTATAATTTCTCAGATAAGCTTGTTGAGCCTTTCCTCCTTTTCATTTCCCCCATGATCAAGGTCCTCTGGTTTTTGTGTCTACCACCTAGGGAACTTGAAAAAAACTTGTGTCTACCACCTACTGGCCCACATCCTATGCTACTTAAGCTTGGGCCTCTGCAGGGTTTTTTTCCGTTCATCTGTTTTAATGTATATTTTTAAATATATTTTATTGATTTTTTACAGAGAGGAAGGGAGAGGGATGAGAGAGAATAATCGATCAGCTGCTCCTGCACACCCCCCACGGGGGATGAGCCCACAACCAAGGAATATGCCCTTGACTGGAATCAAACCTGGGAACCCTCAGTCTGCAGACCAATGCTCCATCCACTGAGCCAAACCGGTTTTGGCAGTTTTAATATATTTTTATTGATTTCAGAAAGGAAGGGAGAGGGAGAGATAGAAACATCAATGAAGAGAGAATCATTGATTGGCTGTCTCCTGCACACTCCCCACTGGGGATCGAGCCCGTAACCCAGGCATATGCCCTTGACCAGAATCAAATCCTAGACCCTTCAGTCCTCAGGCTGACGCTCTATCCACTGAGACAAACTGGCTAGGGCAGGTTTTTTTTTGTTTTGTTTTTTTAATTAGCCTGCCAGGTGATTATGATATAAAGTCTGAAAACTGATACATATGTCTCATCTTTAATACAACCAGTACAAAGTAGGGCTAACATCATGCTCTTTATCTATGATGTTCTAGCAACTTCAAGATGTCACATACTTCAAAAAATAAAATTAGCCCAGCCGTGTGGCTCAATGGTTAAACATTGACCCATGCACCGAAAGATTCGGATTCAATTCCTAGTCAGGGCACATGCCTGAGTGAGTTTCAAGCTCGACCCTTGGCAGGAACTGTGCAGGAAGCAGCCTCAATGATTCTCTCATCGTTGATGTTTCTATCTCTTTTTCCCTCTCCCTTCCTCTGAAATCAATTAAAATAAAATAAAATTTTTCAGAGAACTGGGACTAAGAGATTTAGATTTCTATTTCTAAATGTATCAATAGCCTTGCATATGGACTTATTACGTTCTGTAGAAAAATCACTTCATGCTAAGCCTCTACACTTACATCATGGACATACTTAGTCCAAATAGAGGTGTACTCGCCTACCAAAGACTGAACTGACAGCTGATGACACCAAAGTATCTTCTCTGTGCATAACACTGTTGTCAAGAGTGTGAGGACACACAAGCCCTAGTACTGCTAATACTAAGATTTAAGAGATTTGCCTTCTAGAGAGCATGATGAAACAAGCATCTTGAGAAAATTTAAGTATAATACTAATGATAGCTGTAGAGACATTGGTGTTATAGAAATATGATTACTGGTTGGAAAGCTGTGGAACCAAAGAAATGATATTCATTAGAAAACTAAGTTGCCCTGAACTCTAAGATTTGTTTGGCTTGTTTGCAGAGAAAGCAGCGATGGAATCCATCAGTGAGTTCATCCATGTTCAGGCTACTTGCAAAGGGAGAGACACCACACAGCCAAAAATGCATGCTCAAAATGAAGTCATGATTCAAAAATTCATGTAATAATCTGAATTCCTCATGATTTGTTTGTTACTATTTCTAACTCACGAGATACTCGAGAAGAAAAAAAAAAAAAAGTCCATTCTAGGAAATATGCTGCCCATTATAAATACATCTCAGAGATAAGGGGGTCAGGGGCAAACCAAAATCCAATCTGACATTTATTTTTTTTGAATAGCCAACATCAAAAATATACCTGGCATTTTCTAACAATTACAAGAAGAATGACCAGATGCTTCCTGTTGATGGAACAGTGTAGAACTACAGACAGAATCTGACTAGAGTTCACAGAACAAATGGAAATGAATTTAGCTTCATTTCAAAACCATTAAATTAACGTATGGCCTTAAATTTTCACATTTACAGTATAATTGCCCCTCAACATATAAAAAAACCAGATTGAATCAGAGATAGACAGCTCTAAGTTACAGAACTCTGAGTTTACTTGAAGGGTAAAATATATGCATTACAAAAGTATTGTTTACCAAAGGTTTCTCTACAGGATTCCCTTTAAATCCAGAGTTCCTAAAGTGCTTTGAGAAGTGTCCTAGCTTCAAAAATTACATTTACATACAAGTTCTCACAAGCACATGCAATATGGAACTCACATTTCATTTGTGTACAGAATCACAAGGGATTATGCAATCGTTATTCGTAATGCCTGTTTATACATCTAATTCCCAAACTGAAAAAAGTTAGAGCCTAAGAAAAAAGTGTAGAAATAAGCCATCTTATCCTTACTTTTAAAATGTCTGGTAAAAAATATAAAATTTCTGATATATTATCCTGACTTGACTTATATGGTGAGCACAAACTAGAAATGACACATTTCTTAGTTTAAAAAAAAAGTATAGTGTGGATTGTTCCAGAGGTTTTATGGTGTGATACCACAACAGATTGAATGCAGAAGTAGATTTAAGAGTCTGTCTTCCATTCAACCAGACACTTAAACTCTTGTAGAAATGTCACTCTTTGACCAGTATGTCATTTATGTTAACATGCAATTAATATATTTTTGCTATTTTACATACTTAAAAGGAGGAAAGTGAAGAAATGCAATAAAGCAGCCTTAAGTTTCCTGAAATTCAAAGTCTGAGCCTGAAAGTGGAAGTGCCAAGGCTGAGGGTTACATGTTCCTAAGAAAGTTAAACCAAACTGGGTTGATCTAGACGTGAAATAAACTATCTGGAAAAAAAAAAAAAAAAAAAAAAAAAAAAAGACGTGTGACCGCTAACTTTTACATAATAAATTCCTGTACAGTGCGTCTTTCATTCTGATGGCCAATCCCAAGGATCCTTGACTAACGACACCAAACCATTTTCCAGATAAAAAAAACTGTACTTCAGAAAGTTAACTTGCCTGAATCCAGACAGCAAACTATTGTCCGGAGAGCACTTAAAAATACTTCCACATTCCCAAGCCCCCTTCAGAAGCTCTGTGGTCTTTGCCCCTCCTTGGAACAGATGTCTGCCTGCCACAGTCCAATCAGGTTTAAAGTAAGTTGTGTGTACTGCAAACAAGCTCAAAGTGGGGGAAACACACGCAAGGCGGGCCTGCATCACTCCTCCGGTTTCAGTTTTCACGTTGCACCCTCGAGGCTAAGGCACCGGCTTCCAGAGCTCCACCGGAGCACGCCCGCCTCAGGACAGACACACCAGCAGTGCCCAGGCCGAGGTGCCCGGGCCCAAACTCTCTCAAGTTTCCCCCAAGCCGTGCCCCCGCAGGTCCCGGCCGCTAAGTCCCCAAAAAGCAGGTCCCGGCATCCTTCGTCCCCACGGGGCTCCAGACCCCGAAGCCGAGGCCCTCGGGCGCCGTGGCAGCCCCGTGTGCGGGACGCCAAGGGAAGGGCTCCCGGGTTTGAACCCTGTTTGGACCCGTCCGCTCTGCCGCCGCCCCGGCGGCTCCGGGCCCCGAGGGCTCCGCGGTGCAGCGCGCCCGGGCCCGGCCGCCCTCGCCTTCCCGCTCCCAGCGAGCCCGGCGGGGCGGCCCGGCCGCCCAAGACAAAGAGACCCGCGGCTCCCGGGCGGCGGGCGCCGAGGCCCGGCCGCGCCTGCCCCTCTCCCCCGCCCGCCCGCCCGCCCGCCCGCCGCCCGCAGAGCTCCCGCCGCCGCGACCCCACACCATCCCCGGCGGAGCCGCCGAGCCGGACCCGACTGGCGAGGAGCGGCGCGGGGAGGCCGCGGCGGCGCCGGGGCCGGGGCCGAGGAGGAGGAGGGGGCGGCCGCCACCACCATGTCTGCCCGCCCCTCCCCGAAGCTGGGTGCCCGGCGGACAATGCGCGGCGGCGGCGGCGCGGGCGGAGCGGGCGCCCAGGCCGACCCCGCCGACCCCCGCGGCATAAGCGGGGCCAAAGGAGCCCCGGAAACCCGGCGCCTTAATGCAATAAACAGGAAATCGCGGGGATGATCTGGGTTCCGGGGGAAGTGGAATTATTTTTTACCAGCGAAGAGATCAACTTCCACATCCGGTGGTAACAGGGCCCGACACAGACCCGCACTGACCTGGAAAAGCTTTGGGAACGGCGGCGGCGGGGGAGCGGCGGGAGGGGTGCGGGACCCGAGGCGCTCCGTACCCGGCCGAGCGGACGCGGCCCCGCCACGCACACACAGCGCTTCAGCTGCACAGGGCGCTGTTTTCCGAAAATGCCGCGTCTGGTCGGCGCCCAAAATCCCCACCGAAAAGTCCCCCGTGTGCGCGCGGAGGGACACATCGTGTGCGAGTGAGTCCGCCTCCCAGCATCCCTCCCGGACCGGCCCCCGGGCGGCCGCGGGCCCTTCCGCCCGGGCCGCGTCAGCAGATCCCCCTCCCGCCCGCCGGCCCGACCCCACTCCGGAGGGAAGAAAGGGGCGAGAGGGTGTGATTTTTTTTTTTTTTTTCGTTTTTAACGGAGGGGCAGGAAGCGGGCCATTTCTAGAGTTGGGCCACACAAAGAAGCCGGCGGAATGATCCGCTCTGGGCGCCCGCGAGTCCCGGCTCGCCCGGCGCCTGCGCGCACAGGGGGGAGTGCGGCCATGTGCGCGGGAGCGGCCGCCGCCGCCGCCGCCGCCGCCGCCGGGCTTTCCCGCCTCCGCCGCGGGCCGGGAGCGGGCGGCCGCGGTGCGTGTGCAGACCTGCGTGCCGCTCCGGCTTGAACGCTGCGGGACGGGACGGGGCGGCCGGGCTCCGAGGCTAAGCGGAAGGCGGCGCCTCGCGGAGGACTGGCTGGCGGGGATGGAAGGGCGGCCGGGCTTTGGCTGAAAAGCGGCCTTAGATGGAGCTAGGCAGGCTGGGACAGGAGTCGCTGTGGAAGTACAAGGGGAGGAACGAGGATGCTCAGGTTTATGACGTATAGATTACTGTAGCTTTTTTTTTTTTTATTTAATCCTGATGCTGTCTCATACATCGCAGATCCTAGTAACTGCTCTCTGAACTCCCTGGGATTACTGTCACCGGAGGTAGAGATGTGCTTGCTTTTGTGTGTGTGTGTGGCCAGAATGTCATGGTGTGTGTGGTGTTGTATTTAGAGGAGCAAAAGTTTATTTGGCTATGGGGATGTGCAAAGTAAAGCCTTACGAATGTAATTTACACGGGCCGATTTGCTAAAAAACCCAACACACTGGTTTTATTGGGGGGAAGGGGGGTTATTATTGATTTATTCTAGAGAGAGGAACATCTGTTTGTTGTTCCACTTATTTATGCATCCGTGGGTTGCTGGCTGGGGATCAAACCCACAGCATCTCAGGACAAGGCTGTAGCCGGCTTAGCTGCAGGGCCTGGCCCACGCTGATGTGTTTTTAACGGAGGAGCCTGGGGATGACTTACCTGCCCAGCTTGCCCAGCCCGCTACCTGTGCAACTTTTGGCATCCTATAGCCAGGAGTTTAGGCTAGCTGAGACAAATCAAGAGAGCTGACAGATTTAATAAAATCTATTTTGCCCACTGTTTTTTGTGGCCTGGGATAAGTATTTTTTTTCTCTGCTTACTCTTTTGTAATATTGACATACCGTAGTCAAGACTTGTACAGTGTTTGTGTGACCTCTAAAGCATTGTGCCTAAACTAGAAGCAGAGTGAAGGACCTAGGGGCCATATTGTGTGTTTCCTTTTGATCTTAATATATTCATTGCTTCAGGTGATAAAAATTGGTCAGATTTTTTATGCTCTTCTTTCACTGAGTTCTTTAAATTCATTCAGGTGATGAATTCTCTAGCATCCTTGCCTTCATTGATCTTATGCTGTAGAATGCAGACAAGTAAATAGGCATCATCAGTAGAATGAGGGTAAAGTGTTGACTACTGTGAAATCTCAGACAAGAGTAATCTCTTACCTTGGGAGGCAGGAATGGAATGGGAATGGAGAAGCAATTAGCTTTAATAAGGAAATTGGAGAAGGTCCTTCCAGGCGCAGGAAGCAATAAGTGCAAAGGTTAAGACGCAAACTCTGAAGAAATTATTGGGTGAAGGAGATAATGCTGTGTCAGGAGTGCCTGAGAAGACTTGTCGTGAAGGCCAGAAATGCCATGTGCAGGAATTAGCTTTTGAGAGCTAAGAAGAAGCAGTTGAAAGATTTTAGATAGAAGCATCATAAGGATTTGCATTTTAGACAGATTGCGCAAAAATCAGAGACATGGAAACAGTAATCGGTGAGAGGTTATTGAGAGAGAAGCAAATAGACCTGGAGAATACTACCAGTGATTGAGAGGTTGGTGAGTTGGTCGACTGGGAAAGGGAAAAACTGAGAGGTAGATGTCAAAGATGACTCCCAAAGTTTGTTGGGAGAGCAACTGGTAGGATGACAATGCCTTCATTGAGATTAGAAACCAGGAAAAAGAAATACATGTTAGGCCCTAACTGGTTTGGCTCAGTGGGTACAGCATCAGCGTGCGGACTGAAGGGTCCCTAGTTCGATTCCAGTCAAGGACATGTACCTGTGTTGTGGGCACATCCCCAGTAGGGCGTGTGCAGGAGGCAGCTGATCAATGTTTCTAACTATCCCTCTCCCTCTCTGTAAAAAAAAAAAAAAAGAAAAATCGCTGAAACCGGTTTGGCTCAATGGATAGAGCATCGGCTTGGGGACTGAAGCGTCCCGGGTTCGATTCCGGTCAAGGGCATGTACCTTGGTTGCGGGCATATCCCCAGTAGGGGGTGTGCAAGAGGCAGCTGATCGATGACTCTCTCTCATCGATGTTTCTAACTTTCTCTCTCCCTTCCTCTCTGGACAAAATCAATAAAATATATTTTTTTTTAAAAAAAGAAAAATCAATTAAACATATTTAAAGAAAAATATATGTTAGGGAAGGAAGAAGGTTTTGTTACGACCTTTTGGAAATTGAAGTGATTGTGAACCAAACAAGCAGATATGTCTAGTAAGTAATTAGATGTTTATTCATTTACGTTGTTTCAAGAGCTGTAACTGGCACTGTTCTACACACTGGAATAGGTTAAGCAGCAGCAAGACCAACAGAGGCTCCTGCTTCTGGTAGAGGGAATAGACTATAAGTTTTCCAAAAGAAGAAGAAAAATAATATCCCATAATATGTTCCATGAAGAACATTGAAAAAGCCTTGTTCTGGGGTAGAGAGTGGGTAAAGTTTTGGTTGTTGGTCAAAGGTGCCCTCTCTCAGAAGATACTCTCTGCTAAGACTTGAATGATAATAAGTTAAGGACAATATTTGAGACCAAAGGGAATAGCAGGGCCAAATCCAGAAGTGAGAGTTTATTGTTTTTAGCGAGGAAGCTAGTGTGGCTGCAGTCTAGCGGGCAAAGGAAGGAATGATAGAAGATGAAGTCTACCTCCTTGGTAAGTTGAAGTGCTCTAGAACAGCAGTTGCCAACCCGTGGTCTGTGAGGTCCAAAAGGTTGGCGACCGCCGGTTTAAGAAAAGCTTTGGAGCTGCGGTCGTCAGCTGGTGGTCCATGAAGTCTGTGAGGTCCAAAAGGTTGGTAACTGCTCTACGAGCCATTGACGGGTTTTAAGGAATAGAGTAACATGGAGAACAGCAGTAAAGATAAAGTATAGATGGGTTGGGGATAGTGTTTGTTGCTGAGAAATGAAACATGAGTGAGGGAAGGGGAAGAATAATGATTCCAGGCTAGCTAATGTGGCTCATGGTTGAGCCTCCACCTTTGGATAGGAGGTCATGGTTCAATTCCTGGTCAGGGCACAGGTTACGGCCTTATCCCCAGTAGGGGATATGCAGGAAGTAGCTGGTCATTGATTCTCATTGATATCTCTCTCTCTCTCTGAAGTGATTAAAAAAAAATACACACACACACACAAGGCCCAATGCACAAAATTTGTGCACAGGTAGAGTCCCTAGGCCTGGCCAGCAATCATGGCCAATCTGTGGGGCAATCAGGGGTCCCCATTGACACCCGCTTTGGCCGGCCTTGTGCTGCCCACTCACCACACCAGCCCTGCCACTGCCACCAGTTGCCTCTGTGGGGCAACGGGGTGGGGTGAGGGGGGGGTGCGGCACAGCTCACCTGCCTTGGCTGGCCTGCATGCTAGGGTACATCACAGCGACTGGTGGTTCCACCGTTCAGTCGATTTGCATTTTAGGCTTTTATTATATAGGCCTAGAGGGCTGGTGCATGAAATTTGCACAGGGCCGAGACTGGTTAGGTTCAGTGGATAGAGCATCAGCCTGCGGACTGAAAGGTCCCAGGTTTGATCTGGTCAAGGGCATGTACCTTGGTTGCGGGCACATCCCAGTAGGGGGTGTTCAAGAGGCAGCTGATCTATGATTCTCTCATGAATGTTTCTATTCCTTTCTCTTCCACTCTGTAAAAAATCAATTAAAAAAAAAAATATATATATATATATATATATATATATATATATATATATATATATATTTATGCACAGGGCCAAAACCGGTTTGGCTCAGTGGATAGAGAGTCAGTCTGCAGACTGAAAGGTCCCAGGTTTGATTCCGGCCAAGGGCATGTACCTTGGTTGCAGGCACATCCCTGGTGGGGTGTGTGCTGGAGGCAGCTGGTCGATGTTTCTCTCTCATCGATGTTTCTAGCTTTCTATCCCCCTCTCTTTCTCTCTGTAAAAAATAAAATATTTTTTTTTTTAAAGAAGAAAGAAAGAAAGAAATTTGTGCATAGGGTGGGAGGGTTGTCTGTCAGCCCAGTCTGCACCCTTTCACAATCTGGGACCCCTTGGGTAAGATCCCTGGGCCTGGCCAGAGATTGGGGCCTATGGTGGCTTTCCTTCCCCTTGCTGCTGGCAGCTGGCCTCGCCCCCACAGCAGCCACTGCTTGCCATCTGTACGATGATTGCCCCCCCCCCCCCCCCCCCCCCCCCCCCCCCCCCCCCCCCCCCGCTCCCTGCCACCAGTCACCTCCTGCGGGCAACAGGTGTGGGGTACAATCACTTGGCTGGCCTGGGCCTCCCTTGTGGGGCCATGGATCACGGGTTCCCCAGATCAGTCACCTCGCAGAGGGAGGTCCCGCCCACCCTCTATTGCACCACCAGCCGGTGGGTGATCACAGACAACCCCCCACCACCCCCTATTGATCACCCCACCGGCCAGTGGCCTGGGCCTCCCTCTTTGGGGTAATCAGTCACAGAGCTTCCCCATAGATAGCCCTTCAGAGGATGGCCTAGGCCTCCCTCCGCAGGGTGATCATGGGGCGATGGCAGGGCCCCCCCCCCCCCCCAACCAATTGCATCACACCTGCCTTGGCTGGCCTGGCGCCAGGGCGTATCATAGCATAGCCGTCTGGGTCTTTCTGCTGTTTGGTCCATTTGCATATTATGCTTTTTTTATTA